CACATGCTTCTAGCAAGCATTTCTTGATATCTCCTATAAGACTCTTGCTTCTCCAGCCTAAACTTCTCATGGCAGCTTGCAATGAACTTCTCAGCAAGCTGATCTATTTCACCTGCATCATCGACGTCGTCATTGCCGCCGCCATCGTTTCCTGGCTCGTTTTCTTCAAGCCATTCGAGGTAGCCTGAGAGCTGCCGCTCCAAGCTAGCATCATCATCACTGACGACAACAATCGAGTTCCATGTTGAGTCGTAGAAAGTTTGGCTTATTGTTTTAAGACCCTGAAAGCTTATTGCGGGCTCGGAAATCGGAATTACATGTGTTGACGGCATATTGCACCACATAGTGATTGATTTCAGTACCCTCTTCATCATCTTCTTCTTCTTCTTCCCATGCATCTTCGTGGCAGAGCTGCTTGTTTTCTTGCTAGTGATCGCAGTCGTCAGGGTCAAGAGCTTGATGATGAAGGATTTAGTGTTCGATAGAGCTCGAACGAGGCGGCACAAGTGCCGAAGAATGAAGGCTTCTACATGAGTTTTGATCTTGAGGGATTGGCATGAAGCTTTCAATGAGGAATTATAGGAATGAGATGTGAGAGAAGGCTGTTGAGCCATGAGGTGGAGAAAAAAAGTATGAGAGGTCATGGCTTTATAAACAAGGGTGTTCATACAATTGCCATTTTATATTCATTGAATTCACATGATTGCCATTGGCATTAATTCTTATGTATTTATTTTCTTTCCTTTTGTGCCAATAACATGTTTCAGAAAGTATGAATTTGTCTGTTGCATAATAATGTAATTGATGTGAACAAGAAGATAAATTTATTGCACATGTAAAGATGTAGTCTAACTTTTTGGTAAGCATGTCATATTCATATAAGTTATGGGTATTTTGGTGAAACTTTAACTGAAATGCATAACCAGAGTTGAAAGAATCAAACCCTAGTGATGAGAAGATAATGAAGAGATGGACTACTTTTGCTGTACAGAGAATTTAGATGTGACAATTATAGAGAATTGCAAAGAAGATGGGTGGGGGGGGTTCACAAAAAAATAACATATATTGAGTTAAATTAGGTGTAAAAATTAGGTCGAATGAGTGTGAGTTAAGAGTCGAAATCACAATTAATTCGAGTTAGGCGGAATCGAGTCAAAATGATTCGAGTTGATAAACTAAATTTTATTTTTATTTACTTTTATTCTTATTTTTCTTCGACTTATATATACATCATGCATAGATTATATTATTATTATTATTATTATTATAAAAAATGAAACTTTACTTATTATTATTGACCCACGATTAAAAAAAAATGAAAATGTTGTATTGTATCGCTTGTGTTTTGTTGAAATAAAAATTAAGTCCTTCATATTACACACGAAATAATGCTCATTGTATTTTGAAATGATAAGTTTTTCTTTTCTAGAATATAGAGATTAATTTCTATTTATTTATTAATTAAGCATAAAATTATGTAATTCAATTGTATTTTTTTTTTTTAAATGGAATGGCCAGAGGCTACTGGACTAGCTCCTAGCCACCCCTAATATACCTAATAATTCGAGTATCGCCCTTCATAAAGAGACCGTCATTAGAGGGATTCGAACCCCTGACCTCAGGGAACGTACAACTGACTCGCAGATGTGAAGAAACAAGTTGGGGCACGCGGCATGTGTAATTCAATTGTAATTATTTAACTTAGATTCTAATGAAAAGTATGGCTCATTATTGTTGCATTATGGTCAACATTTAACACATTTGCTTCCAAAGCTATTTGAACAGTACTTGTATAAAAAGAAAAGATAAATTTAAAGGTTGTGTGGAATCCTATTTTAATATCAGTTTGCTTTAAGTGCTGGCTTCAGTCAAAGATTTTAGGCATCATAACCTTTCTTTTCTTTGAGCACTGGCTTTTTACACAAATGTTCACGTATTTCGAGCCGAGCTAGGTCGGCTCAAAATCGGCCTTTGACTCGTTATATTAGATTTCGAGTCTAGCCGACTCGAAATTGAATCAAGATCCATCCGGTTCGAATTCGAAATGAGCCGACTCATATTGAGTTATTTGGATCCGTTTTAGTTCAGAGTCAGCTCGATCCAGCTCAAAATTGAAATTAAATGGCTCAAATTTAATTATTTGAGTCCGCTCCAACTCAGAATTGGCTTATGACTCGTTATATTCACTTTTACTTAACATTATATACATAATTTTTATAAATAAATACTATGAGCCAATCTGGAGTCATTTCAAGCCGATCCATGTTCGTCTCGAAATCAACTCTTAAAAAAAAAAATTTGATCCAAAATTTAGCTCATAGCTCGACTACTATATTTTGATCCGAGCTGAAATTAGAATTGATTTTCAAGCGATTAACAACCTTCGAGCTAAACTCACACTTCTAATTAAAACTGTGTTATATAAAATTTTTGACTCGGTCAATTCCAAAATTTTACATTTAATTAACGATTAACAACATGGCTTGTTATTCAAATTCAACTCATGTTTAGATAATATTAA